TTTTACAACGTCGTTGCCAAGCGACGAAAACCCAACCCCGATGGTAAACACCGAGGGGGACGACGGTTGGGAGGGAGTTTTTTTTTTTTTTGCTGTCGTTGCCGACTGCTGTTTTATTATTGTACATGCGTTGGAACAGAAAGAGCCAAGGGGTACGTGAGAGGCACAGTACTTCCTCCCTTCGAGCGAAAGAAAGCCCCCGCGAGCCAATGCTACCCCCCCTCTTGGCGCTTCGCGCTTGGTGATCGCTAGCCTTGTCCGGTTTGAGCCCGGCGTACTCCGTCCCGGCTTTGCAGGGATGCGAGGTCAATGGTCGAACGACCACATGGCTAATGAGTACACCCCGCCCCCGCCCCCCCCCCCCCCCCCCCCCCCCCCCCCCCCCCCCCCCCCCCCCCCCCCCNCAACATTATTGCGACCAGGAGACGAGGAGAAAGGGGGCCTGGCCCGGCTCCGATAAGGAGATGGAGGGCAACGGTCCCTTCCCCGGAGGGAACGGAAGCAACGGCGATGCTGGGGCCGCCACCTCTACCAGGGGAGGGCTCGACAAAGTAGGGGGCCGGGTAGGAGGGGGAGGGCAAGACGCGGCCCCCGGCGAAGCGGTCGGTATCGGGGGAATGCCGCTCAACTACGGCTACCCGCTGGGGTATCCGGTGGGGGGTGCCGGCGGTGCCAGGGGTGCTTACCCGATGGGGGGAGGGTTTGGAGGCATTCCGGACTTCGCGTCGTTTCAGCATGTGAGTGCTCGGCCGGCGTTGGTGGTGCGGGTTGGTTTGGGAGGCGGGGGGAGTAGTTTTTTTTTTTTTTTCACTTCAAATCGGCGCCCACGGCACTAGCGCCGTTTACTCCAACCCGTGGTCACACAGAAGAGCCCCTCTCCCATTGACCTCGCATCCCTACAAAGCCGGGACGGAGCACGCCGGGTTCTCACCGGACCAGGCTCTCACATCACCAAGCGCGAAGCGCCGTGAGATATTCGGCGAGTCGCATGAAGGGTGCGCTGCATCCTGCTAAGGGTGTTCGGCATCTTGTGCTTACTTCCTTGCGTACGGATGACAGCTGCGTATGAATTAATATATTTTCTGGTGCTTTCACTTCCAGAGACAGTTGTAAGCACTGTGTAACTGCCTCGAGGGTGCTTGACCATTGTAACACAACGTGGTGCGATCATCCCCCTTGCGCGGAGTGAGGGTTCCCTACACCACACAAGGGGGAGGGGGGGGAGAGAAATGAGAGACAGGGAGAGAGAGAGAAATATCTATTTGCCCAGAGAGACTAAATACGGAGAGGGAGGGAGGGAGGGTACTTGGAGAGCGGGATTGGAGAATGCGTACTTCGCGTCCTTATTTAGCGGGTTTGTGTCTTACTTCTTGGGCAGATGTCGCCTGCTGTTCAAACCCTCGAGTGCATGAGGCCGGACTTGTCAACTGCCTCCCCCGACACTATTTTGAGGAAACGTGCCGTTAAATCCCCTCCCGCTTCTGGCTACTCCCTGCACACGCACGTTTTACCCCCCGCCGATCCGGCCCGCTCTCATTGCTGCCGCCGTCTCATTCAACAACGCCGCTCTATCCCCCCCCCCCCCCCCCCCCCCCCCCCCCCCCCCCCCCCCCCC